GGCTTGAAGATGAAAAAGATGAGTCACCAGCATATTGTGTGCAGATTGCGTGTTATGAGGTAGGAGTGGATGAGATTTTGGATGAGGGAGGAGAAAGCTAAATCAGAATCCTGAGGGACATGACCACTGGATGTTTTCAGTCTGCTAAGGAAGAAAACTCCAGGTATGCATTGTGACTTCTTGTTTTCAAAGTCTAACAAGTACATATCTGTTGGATGCATTTTTTTAAAAACTACATTACAATTCTGCATATTCAGAAGTGAAGATGAAAATGCAAGTAAATTACATTGTTCACCTAGACAGCCTTTCCTGGAACTATGTAAGCCAGTGGCATTACTCTGTTTCCCCATGGGTTGGAGGTGACTTTTACTTGGACCTGGCATACCTGTGCATGCTCTAACGTCTTCTGTTAACCTACTTCTCAGCTCAGCAGCAGATGCAGCCCACTAGGCGGATCTCCTTCTCCATCAGCATCTCTCCACTCCTCCTTAAGTCTAAAACTCTCTTTTCTCTTGGCTCTTCTTATTCCAGTGATGAGGAGTTGCATAGTAAGTAAGCAACTTTGTTATCCAGTGACTGTTATCCAAGGTCTGACTAGCGTAGAAAATGCTGTAGGCTTAATACTAAGAAATTGTTTGGGGTCTTTTGTCCTCTTGCATGCCGTCTTTTCTAAGTCGTTTGTCCTGATGCTTAGCTTTGAGAATTAATTAGGATAGAACAGTTTGTGTCTTCTGTGCACTACTAACACTGATTGATACAGTGGCCTCCTGATTCCAGGGCACAAGATACTTTCCAGAACACAGATAGCCCCAAAGGCATAAGGGATGTGTTCCTTTCCCACTTTGTACTCTTTGAAATACTATGTACTAATTTTACAAAACTTTTCATTTGACAATGTAAATCTTATTTTTCTTGTTTCATTTTTCTGTCTCCTGGGACAGATATCTAGATGTCCATTTTGTAGTATTTAAAACCTAATATGCTTTCTTTTTTCTCCTTTTCAGACCGTTTCTTTAAAAAATACCTTTTCTTTAAGATTAGACCCTATAGATTAGAGGGTGGAAGTTATATATTTATCTCTTTCTGACTTTCTTGCTTTTGGAACTTTTATTTTAGCTTATTTTTCAGTCCTTTGGATAAGCTGTAGGTTTCAGATGAATGCATTCTTAATTAATAATTCCTAGTTTAGAAACTTTATGTGCTATCAGTTTTAGTAAACTTGGAAAGGAAATGAATCTCCCTTTCGTGAAAATCTCTGTATTCAACTATGCAAGATTGCTGTTTTTAATGGAAGATAACATTTCTAATAGAAAGTTAAATAATGAATTGCTTTCATATAATTAATATTGCAAGTCTGAGACAATCAGAATATCCATATGATTGAACACCTTCATTCCCTGCCACTTGTTCGTGCTAAGTTTCAGCAATATTGAGTTGCTCAGGCTGGTGATTTTACGTTGTTAAAGGAAGATGCCTTATGCACAGGAGCACAAACAGAGTTTGGTTAATTTGGTTTTAAATGGAGTTCCTATTGTTCATTATATTTTTCACTATTAAGAGATATTTGACAAATAGACATCCAATGAAATAATCACATTATACTAGTTGCAATAGGAGAAAAGTTGTGAAAATTTACTTCATCTTTGTGTTTGGAAATTCACAAAGCTGTTTCATCTCAAAGCATTTGTAATACACTGAGAAGTAGCCAGGTCAGCATGACAAAGTCCCAGTAGGATTTTTTTTAACCACTGATTATAATCCCATATCAGCACTGGTCCATCAGTTAATCCAACATGATGGAATCCTAAAAATACAGAAGCTTGAAGAAATATTTGAGTTGAATATCCAGCATTTCTCAAAGTGTGTTTCTTAAACTCAAAAATGCTTGTGAAAATGATTTGGGTGGGGAAGGAGGAGAGAAGTAAAAGGGATTGGTTCATGGCCAAATAAATCTAGGAAACTCTGGGCTAAGCAGGTTTAAAATGCTAATGTGTGTTCCAAGGCAGTGTTCAATATACTTTGTTTCCCAAGTTTAACTAGGAAACCACAATGTGTACAGAACAATATATAGTATTTCGTGAAACTAGTGTTCCATGCAACGCACTCTGAAAAGTAATGACCTTGTCCATCAAGTAGTTTCAATCTGAAGTTCCTGGCTGTAGTATAATGTCTGAAAGTTGTTTTGTTCTTATAAAAAAAATACCAAAAAAAGCAAAAATACAAAACCTTATTGGAATATATTATTTATACGCAGTAATACTTCGTGGTCTATCTTTAATGACAAATTTCTTTTTTTTTGCTGTAATTTTGTCATGGAAGTAATATTGGTTGTTTCATTAGATGCTTTGAAAACTTGATGACACTTTAGGAGTTTCAGAGGCATTGGTGGATCAATCACTGTGTTTAGAACCACATTTAAAAAGCTATAGTAACTGAAGTAAAAAATTATTTAGCAGTGAAAAAGTTGGAAATCTTATAGGAATCATAAGTTCTTCTGATACTGAATCACTTATTTGTTCAATTTTTTTTTTTTTTGAGTTGGGATCTCACTCTGTCACCCAGGCTGGAGTGCAGTAGCACACTAACAGCTTCATTGCAACCTTGACTTCCTGGACTCAAGTGATCCTTCTGCCTCAGCCTCACCAGAAACTGGGACTATAGGTGTGTGCCCCCACATCCAGCTATTTTATTTTATTTTATTTTTGGTAGAGATGAGGTCTTGCTGTGTTGCCCAGGCTGGTCTCAAACTCCTAGGCTCAAGTTACCCTCCTGCCTTAGCCTCCCCAAGGGCTGGGATTATAGGCATGAGCCACTATACCCAACCTCTTCAGTTTTTAATTTATTCCACGGAAATCTACTAGGAGCTTATTCTTGGCCAGGCTTTTTGTTGGTTGGTATTTTTCTGCATTTTGAATTTTATTATTCTTTTCATATTACTAAGTGGTAACTTACTAGGTAATTGCTTAAATGTACAACAGAATCCAGACAGCCTAGAAAATGTAATGCTGCTTATATCATTGAAGGCTCCTTGGGAGGAAAGAGCCTTAAAGTCATTGGTTTAAACCACTCTCTTGAGATATATATATTTTTTGTTTGTTTTCGGAGGTTTTTTTGTTTGTTTTTTGTTTTAGTTGGGGTTGTCTCACTTTGTTGCCCAGACTGGAGTACAGTGACATGATCATGGCTCACCACAGCCTTGAACTCCTGGGCTGAAGGGATCCTCTTCCTCATCCTCTGGAGTAGTTGGTACTACAAGTGTGCCTGTAGCCACCCCACTCGGCTAATTTTTTTTATTTTTTGTAGAGTCTGGATCTTACCATGTTGCCCAGACTGGTCTCAAATTCCTGGGGTCAAGCAATCCTCTTGCCTTGGCCTCCCAAAGTGCTGGGATTAGAGGTACCCAGCATCTTGATTTTTTTTTTAAAGTAAACTAAGGCATCATGAGGTTAAAATTAAGTTTTACTCCTAGTTCATGCAGAACTGGGGGATAGATCGCAGATACCCTTATTTTTAACTCTGTTGGTCTTTCTTTCTCACCTGGCTGTGGTTACTGTGTATCAAAAATAAAAAAAAAGAATCCTAAATAGGGAAAAGGAAAAAAAAATCAGAAGGCAATCTTTTTAAAGACTTAGAATTTGTGTTAAAGTTTTTTATGTTTTATTCCTACCTCTTAGCAATTTACATTACTGTAAGTAATAACTACAGTCTTGGATTTATGGTCAGAATCTAGAACAGTTTGGAAGTTGAAGAGTTTTAGATGCAGGTAATCTGACTCTGGAATATCTTCAAATCTCGATCAGATTAAAGTTTTACTGACAGCACTCTCAGAAATTCTTGAAACCAATCTCTAGGAGAAAGGCTGTGTTTTGTCCACATCATAACAATGGTTATACTGAACAACGTTTGTCTCCCTGGATATACATGGAAAGTATCTTTACACTTGATCTCTTAAACACTAAGAACCATTTATCACTGTGTGATTGAGGCCTTGCTAAGTCCGTAGTAGCTCAAACTTTATTAACAGGTATAGATAAAAATAATGACAATACTTCTTCTGTTTCTTCTATTTATTGCTCTGCTGTCTGACACAGACATAGAATTGTAATGACCTGCTTCAGTTCATGGTCCAATAGTTGTGGAAAGAAGAAGAATGCATCTTCCTCTTTCGTTTTGTCACTATCAATGTAGAAAGAATCTTGCCATCTGTTTTATCTCCCTCATTTCACAGATGAGGAAATGAAGAAATCCAAAGATCTCATCCCAAATTAGTGACAGGGCCACAATTCAGTAAACCTGCTCTCCTCTCTTTCCTGTTCATTAATCTATTTCCAAGAATTCTCAGAAAACAGAGATTTGCTAGATTTTTAGTATAAAAATATATGAAAGCAAGATTACCAGTAACAAAATATGACTTTAAATTTCCTATTTTATATTTTTCTTGTGATGTCATCTCAGAAAGATGACCTGTGGAAACTGAACATTGATAAGAACAGGAATTAAATATTCTTCATGTATAGTTTAGCATCAGAGGAATGATTTGGCAAATTAGCCGGGCGTGGTTGCACATGCCTGTATTTCCAGCTACTTGGAAGACTGAGACAGAAAGATCACATGAGCCCAGCAGGTTGAGGCTGCAGTGACTGTGAGCATGCCACTGTTCTCCATCCAGCCTGGGTGACAGAGTGGGACTCCAACTAAAAAAAAAAACAAAAAACCAAAAAAATGATTTGGGTTTTTTCAGTTACTTGAATCTTGAATTAAATTTATTTTCTTCATGGGAAATCCACTCCCCATTGCTGCCTATTTCCAGTTCTAATTTGAGCATTTCAGGTTTAATTTTCCCTTTTTCCAAAAGCCTTTAAAAGGAGGAGGCACCATGCACTGACTTTTAAATGCTGTTTGTGCTTTAGGTGTGTCATTGTACATTTTTAAATATTTTATCTGTCATCAAGGTAAAATCCTTTTGTTCTAACTTTTCCTTCACCTTTTTTGTTTTCTAGATTCACGGCCCTTCCACAACACCAGTGCTAATCTGACTGAAAGGTACTATGCATTTTTTGTTACTCGTTTCCCCAAAATGAAATGAAGGAAATTTAAAATATCTTATGGCATTTAATTAAGTAAACTAAGTTAATTGAGTTCTGACTTTTTTGAATGATAAATTTGGAATAATAATTAGAAGTGGTTTTGTAATAAAGGCTGTGTCTTTTCAAATTAATGTGATCAGTAGTTTTCCACTTTTATTCTTTACACTGTCCTTATAAAAATTATTGTTTGTATTTACTGATGTCAGGATATGCTTATATTTGACTTTATGAACTTATGCATGCTTTGTTTATGGGGATTCTTAATTCTTAAGTCTAACATTTGGTTTCATAGTTTGTATATATAAGTTCATGCAGTGCTATTACCTTCTTAGCTATTTTAAGCTTTATAATTGTTTTCTTCTGCGCATATGTATATGGTGCACAACTCTGTCCAAGAAAATTGGTTCTTTACTTGACAGCAGGCAAGACATTTCTTTTCAGATTCATTGTTTATTCTTATATTGCTTTTTTCATGCTTATGAGATTAAATATTCTAATGTAGCATGATTGGGGTTCGGATTGTTGCCCTGCAGTTTTTTTTAAGTTGACCTTCTTTTCAGAGAGGCACCAGTTGTGACTTAGTGATTCAGAATCCACCCAGTGAGTGCTTCTCTTATGGCTTTTGTATCTTTTTTTATATTTTTCTAGAATGGTGGTTTTCATACCATTTCCCTTTTATTTCAAAACAAACTGCTTTGTTTTGTAAACAGCACTTACTTATAAATAGGCTTTAACTGTGGAAGAGGACCCCTTATGCGCTTCTCCTGCCTGCTGCCTGGCCTCTCACTAGAGGCCCTGGAGGCAAACAGTGCTGTACCCTGGGAATGTTCTAAAATTACTATTCCAGAACACCTAAGCAAAGGAATCTTTTTCTATATAATGATGATTATATATTCAGGTACCCACCATTCTTTTAAAAAAAGTAACCATTGCGAGTTTCATAAGTTCAAAACATGTCCATCTTGGATGGACTGAGATTTTATGTACGCTTCCTGAACGGGTGGATGGGTAAATCTGAAGCTGAGTAAAATTCCTAAAATGGATCTTTCCACACTCTGTCTCAACTCTACCTGCTGTCTAGTAGATTCCTTTCTAAAGTTGTGCATGGCTGCATGGAGCAGTCTACAGTCTTGATTGTCCAGTGTGCCAAAAGGCTAGAAAAGAGGTATGATCTCTACCATTAAGGAACTTGAATATGCATTCAGTCATAAGATTCCTTGGTTTGTAAACCTTAGTAACAAGTCTTCTGTTATTCTGTTACATATATAAATTTCCTTTTAAGCACCTATTTGTTGCAAAGAAGTTTGTAGACCAAATGTTATTTTAGATTAAGAAATTTAGGCTGAGTATGGTGGCTCATGCCTGTAGTCCCAACACCTTGGTAGGCCAAAGTGGGAGAGTTGCTTGAGGCCAGAAGTTGGAGACCACTCTGGGCAGCATAACAAATTAGCTGGTTATAGTGGCGCATGTACCTGTAGTCCCAGTAACAAGGGAGACTGAGTCAAGAGAATCACTTGAGCCTAGGATGTCAAGGCTGCAGTGCCCATGATCGTACCAATGTACTTCCACCTATCTCAAAAAAAAAAAGACAAAATGAAATTCCAGATAAAATAATAATAATTGACTAGTTCTTTTTTGCCTCAAATCCCTGAAAATTTGTAATTAAAACATAGTGACCGATACAAGAAAACTTAGCTGGGTTTTGACAGTAGAAGATGGGCATTGTGGCCTACTCTGTTCTAGATATTACTGTATAAAAACCATTCAGCAGGCCCTATTCATCTCTTATGCTACTTCCAATTTAACTTTCATAGTCCTTTTAAAAATTCAATCTTCTCATCTTTATTTAGTATAACAGAAGAGAATTATAACTTCCTGCCACAAAGCCCCTCCAAGAAAGATTTTGAAGGGAAGAGTGGAACAAAAGTCAGTCGTACGTTCAGCTACATCAAGAATAAAATGTCCAGCAGTAAGAAGAGCAAAGTAAGTATTGTCATGGGCATTCCTTGTGTCAGTCATCAGCAACATCCGGTCACAGCCTTCATACACACCAAGATTCATTGAATGATGGAGACATAAATGGAAATAAATTCAGGGAAATAAACTCTCTGAAATAACCTAATATTTAAAGAAAAATAATAAGAAAAATAGCAACAGGAAGTATTGCCACTTACGGAGTTTTTGCTGTATATTGAGAGCTTCACATATATTGTCATTTTTAATCCTTTTAACAACCCTGTAAAGTAGATATTATCTTCCTTTTTTTGGAGTGAGGTACTTTATCTTAGGGAATGCCCCTAATGTGAAGAAGAAATTCAAACCCACATAGATTTCTTTGGTTTCAAAACCCACACTCTCAGCCACAATCCTTATATCAGGTTTAAAATGCAGTGGAAAGATTTTGTTGCCAAGATCAGAGGATTGAAAATATTTATGTTTGGGTTTAGAGGAAAGGAAGATTATCCCACAGAAAATTACAAAAATTTTTAAGACTATTTTAGTATGAATTCTTAGATTTATTTCTAGTTAGGCACATTTAGAATATATTCTCTTTGGTGCTTTAAGAGATTAAATTAACATATTTAAGCTAAACTTTTTTATCTAGTTATTTTTTACATGACTATTACAATAATCTTCAAAATACAAAAGTAAGAAAATAAAAATCTTTCGTAATAACCCCACATAGAGATAACTACTCTTAATGTTTTGGTTTATTGATTTCTAATTTTTTTAATATATTTTAAAACACATAGAAGTTAACTTTTTTATTGTTTACGTGTGTGTGTGTGTGTGTGTGTCTTACTCTATTGCCCAGGCTATAGTGCATTGACACACTCGTGGCTACCGCAACCTCAACCCTCTGGGCTCAGGTGATCCTTCTGCCTCAGCCTTCCATGTATCTGGAACTACGGGCACATGCCACCATGCCCAGCTTACTTTTTGATTTATTGTGGAGATGAGGTTTCACCAAGTTGCCCAGGCTGGTCTCAAACTCCTGGGCTCAGGCAGTCCTCTAGCCTCTGCCTCCTATAGTGCTGGGATTGCAAGCATGAGCCACTGCACCTGACAGAAGTTAACTTTCTTATACTGAGTCTCAGTGCTAAACCAAAACTGAGTCCATTTCAGATCTGTGGAGAAAAGATTTGTGTTCTCCTTTCCCCCATAACTACTCACCTACCCACATACCCTCAAACAAAATAAAGGAGCAAGTAAATAAAAATTTGAAATAAGTAAAAGAGGTCTCACAAGGATTCACTGTGAATAGTATATACATTTACAAGCATATACACACATATGCATACTTAGAAGTAAGGGAATAAACACTGGATATTATCAAGAATATTCCTATAAAAGTGCACCCTTTCTTCCCTACAAAATAAATTACACCAATCTTCTCAAGCCCTCAGTTAAGTGGACTGATAGAAATACAGCCTATGTAAGCCGGGCTCGGTGGCTCAGCCTGTAATCCCGCGTCTTTGGGAGGCTGAGGTGAATGGATTGCCTGAGCCCACGGGTTTGAGACCCGCCTGGGCAGCGAGACCTCATCTCTAAAATAAATTAAAAAATCAGCTGGACGTGGTAGCGCGTGCCTGTAATTCCGGCTACTCGGAAGCCTGAGGTGGAAGGATTGCCGGAGCCCAGCAGGTCGAGGCTACGGTGGCCAGGAGCGGCCACTGCACTCCAGTCTGGGCGACCGAGTGAGACTCCAACTCAAAAAAAAAAAAAAAAAAAAGAAAGAAATACAACCTATGTATTTTATCAAGTTTTGCAAGTATGATATCTTTCTTTTAGCAAATACTAGGTGTGGTCATCATTCTGAGGAATTTTCCCCCAGAACTGCCACCGGAGTTGTATTTTCTCTTTATTTCTCCTGTCCACGTGCAGAACAGTAAAAAGATAAGTTGGCAATCAGGGAAAGATGCAAAAAGTCTAGCCAACCATTTCTAGCATAATCACATGTTTAAATATTAACTTCATACTTAGCCTTGTTTTGTAATTCAAAAGAAAAAGAAGATCAAAGGGGGTAGAATGCTTTACCAATGTTCTCCATATTTACATACTGATAACAAGGCTTAAAATAGAACCTTATTTAATTTGCTTACGACTGCTAGCTTGGATACCAGTTGGCATCAATACAAGAAAGATCCCCTTGGATAGATCAGTACAGATCAGCCAAGTATTATTTAGCAGTTCATACAGTCTTAACATTCTGCTAGGTGCTAAGAAGCACCTAACAGAACTAAAGCTCATAGTTTTGACTTTAAAATTTTTTATGATCTAGTTTGGATGATTTCAAAATGTTTTTGTTAATTTTTATTTTGTCTTTAAACTACGGAATGTTGTCTTTAAACAAACTTATTTGGAAGACCAACAATAAGTAGAGATTCCTTTTTCTATCCTTCTCCCTAATGACAAGGAGTTTTAGGACAATAATGAATAAACCACTGATCTCATTGATGAGGTAATGTAAACAGATGTTGAGAAAAAAAAAAAACAATGTGCTAAGTCTAAATTTAGAAACTGGAATGTGACCTTTAAAAAAGTCTTACCATAGCCTCCTTATTTTTCAAACTGAGCACAGAGAAGTCACATAACATCTCTTGTGGTCTGACTTCCAACAAGTAGTGCTTGTCAATTCATGCTTAGTCTTAAACAAAATCTGTTGCTAAGCAGTATATATATTTTTCTTTTTTTTAACTTTTTTAATCCCAAAGGACTCAAATTTGCTAGGAGGGCGATGAGATAGGACAGAAGAAAAGAAGGTAATTTGTGTTAGAGTGAAATCCATCATCACTGGTAGAAACTGTTGAAGTATCAGTTGACCTTTTGCCTCTGATCATCTCCTTGTCAGAATGACAACACTCTTGCAGTTGAGATCAGTTCCTCTTTCAGAGTTGACTTCAAGATTTCATCTCTGGGAACTGTGCTGTCTTTAGCAGTAGAAACACAAAAAATTATAAATCTGTAACCCTGGATTGCAGTCTATTACCCATTGTCAGATGTTTAGAGTGCCCCTATGGTCAAGTGTATTTATTTATAAGTCACCTTTCATAGTTTGTTGTTATTGGCTAACTTTTAAATGAAGTTGTCATAGAACTTCCTATAGAATAGCTTGGCTTTTGTCATTGTAGCAAAAGATCATAGGAAATAAGGGAAATAGTGAAGTAATATGTTTAATGTTAAGTTACATTAAATACCCTGTCCTGATTTGCCATGCCTCCACAGTAGAGCTTTACCGTATAGAAGTATTTTATCTTCTAAACAATAATACAAAAATAAATGAATATTAAATTTTCTTTGCATGATACTGCTAACTCTAATCTTTTTCTTGATTACTGAATAATGTTAACATCTCCATAATGTCACATAATTGAAAGTGCTACTATTGATGTTAGCACTGATTTTTCTGTGAAAATGATAAATTTTTACTCTTCTAAATTATTTTTTAAATAGGTGCTATGAGAGACCTCCTAATCTACTTGTTTTATTAATCTCTACTATACAATGTAACCATGTCTACTTCTTTTAAAGGAAAAACTTAAGCATTACCGAATAGAATATTAAAATATCACCTATAATTCTTAGTAAAGTATCTGAAGATGTTTTGGAAATTTCTGCTTTCCTAATGCATGATATATGTATTTACATAAAAACAGCTTGTAGTTATTAACCTGGATATATTACATCCAGTTGTTAAGTTGTGATAATGAACAGCTCTTAAATAATGTTCAAAAGGGCCAAAAGTCAGCCACTAGGTAGCAAACTTCACATTCCTAGGAGGATAACATATTTTGCCTGTAGCACTAGGCTTTATAAAGGTAAATTTAAGAAATTTAGTCACTGATTCTTCACATATCATCTTGACAATTATCAATAGCTAGCTTAAGTTATTAGGAAAATAAATTGAATGTTTCTGTGGAAGGGGTATGCTCCACAGGAAGTATAACAGGAAGAAGACTGGCAATTTCTGTTTTCGTCTTATTATCTTTGAGCGATAGTACTGTTTCCTGATAAGTAAGTTTGCTTGTTGTAGAGGATTTAAACACAATGTTTGAGTTCATAAAGGGAGTCGAGTGACCTTCTTTAAGCAATTGTATCATACTGATTTTCTTTTTTCTACTAAACTTTCTACTACAAATGGCTAGAAATGTTTTTAGACAAATCCTTAATATGAGTTGAATTAGGTATTTTGGGGTGCAAGGATTAAATTCATGCACAGCTGCAAATACACTACATGACTTTATAACATAACAAGACATTAAGTTCTAGCTCCTAGGTCCTGTGGTCTATATAAAAAAGCACTACCCATCATCAGCCTTTCAGAGATGCCTACTAGAGTCAAGTAGTGTTTGCAGAGTTAAGTCAGTGTTAAATATAATTATCTCATTCCTTCTTTGATTAAAGATCTGCAGCGTAACATGACAGTTGTTTAATCACATCATTTTCACAATTGTCCAAAGTGTTCTCCAGTTTTTTTAAGAATTATAATTACTTGTCTAAAAGGATAGGTCTAGAGAAGTAGAAAAATCATTTTCTTTCATAGTGTCCTACTGTAGTTGTTACCTGCATCTTTTCCTTTTAAATAGTGTTAGTTTTTGTTTCCCTAGCACACAGTTAAAGCATTTTGGCTGTTGTTAAACATGGAAAAGTTAAGCTTCAGAAAACAACTACTTACCACTTTACCACAGGCAACTTCACTAAAACGTTTCTTATGAAACTCACTGCTTTTTATAAAATGAGAGGTCTGTTTTTAAATAGATAAGATGTGTTCCTTAACTTCTGGTGTTAAAAACTTGGTCTCAAACCTTGCCACATCTCCCATATTGCAACTTAAACACTATCCGCACACACTGTATTTTGGGGAATGAATTTTGTTTCATTTCCGGTATCTTTTGTAACTAGGCTTGTTGGCCTTACCAGCAGCATTCAAATAGTTAAGACTGTCTTGAGGAAACCAGCAGCCTCAGCCCTCCCACCCTCCCTTTCTCAACCAGTCTCTGGCTTCCTCTTATAGTTTGGCTAATGGCAGCTCAAAGCCGCTGGGCTCTGCCTTGCCGGCATGAGCCCCTCTTTCAGTGAGAGCACGTTTCCTGGCATGGGGGTTGAATCATGTCGATCAAATGGGGACGGTTTCATGAAGTACCTTTCATAACAGTGAGATTCGTAGGACCAAAACATGGGGAGGTAAGAGCCTGACTTCTTAAGAGCACTAAATTCTAATAAATACTGGACGAGACAATGTTTTGTTTTGTTTCTATCCTGGAAAGAACTAATTTTGATTGTTGCAAAGGATGAGGAAATTTTTTATTTATTCAGATTTGAAGAGCATTGCAAAGCCTGAGAGAATATGCTAGTTGCCACAAAGATTTTTTTTTTTAACTATTGAAGTATGCTTTAGCTTTCTTCATCAGAAAACCAGATGTTTTTCAGTTTAACATCCTATGCATGGAGAAACCTTTAGAAAAATTTAATTGAAAGAATTTATTTGAAAAACTCAAATTTTGCTGTTCATTTTTATTAGTTTTCCATACTTTAGCAGTTACTAATTTTCACTCAGAACAGTTTCCTGTTTTGTAAAGTGAGGTAGTTTGTTTTTCTCCCTCCCTCACTTGTTATTTTTTATAGTTCGAAATAGTAATTTGGTTCTTAGATTTTAATTATATGTATTTTATAAACAGAGTACTTCATATGACTCATAGATTTAGCAGATATTTACCATTTCAGTATAGTGAATGGGTTCTGAACAGAAAGTCAGAAGACCTGGTTCTAATTTTGACAGTGCAGATCATTTGCTGTGTGACCTTTTGCAAGTCAACAGCCTTCTCCATTCCTGGCAACCTAGCGTAGTAAATGACTGCTGAGCCTTACAGTCAGCCAAATCTGGGTCTTAGTTTCAGCTTGTTAATTATTGGTGTGTGGCCTTAAATGCATTATTAAACATCTCTTAGCTTCAATCTCTTCAGATGTAAAATGGAAATAATAACTAGTTCTTAATTCACTCGGTTGTTGTGAGAAAATACATGTAAATTACTTATTACAGTGGTTGGCACATAGTAACTGTTCAGGATTTTAGCTGTTTATTATCTTTATCTTCTCCGTTGTAAAATGGGAAGCATGATGCTCACCCTGCCCACTTCAGTGTTATTGAGTCAGGTGAAGTAATAATGTATGTAGAAGACATTGATTCAAAATCCAAAGCATTCCATAGTTGAGATGATCATTAATTTGGGGGCACCCATTTTCCAGGAATTTTTTTTTTTTAAGATCATAGCAGTAGCATATGGAATTGAACCTTTGTGAATTTACTTCGTAATCCAGTTAGCTTGAAAGGAAATTATTCCACTGATATTGATTAGCCAGCCAAGTGCTCTGCCAAACAGTGCTTCTAAAGACCTACTGTAGGGACCATGGCTATACCTCTACAGTCTTGGCTTCCTAAGGATAGTGTCCACCTGGAATGTCCCTGACTGCTTTAGATGTTTTATTAAGGATGTAGCACTCATCAGTAGTTCTTCAAGTGTTCAAGGTTTAAATTTCTTTCCATTCCTCTTCATGATTGTGTAAGCTTTGATAACAGCCCCTTTTACATTGAGGCTTGATGTCATATAAAAGTCCTCTGCTTTCGGTCTGTCTCTAAAGCATTTTTGACATTCTTCTATTGTTCTTACGGCAGCATAGCCAGGGTAATCTGGCACTCCCTGACTCCCAGCCCAGTGCCCTCCGTGGTCACCTGATCTGATTTCTCCTTGCTGGTGTCCCTGAGCTTTGTAACTGGCCCACTTGTAAAAAGCATTGAGGGCAGTGCCTGGGCATACAGTAAGCATTAGATGAATGTCAGTTTCCTATTCCCTCTGACAGGTGAGGGAAGACCACAGGAAAGACGAGATCTTCGCAAAGGAGGTCAGAGAGCTGATCTTGTAAGCCTAGTCTTTCAAACCTAGGGACACCCTGCCTGCTTTTCTTGTCAAAGAGCCAGAGAAAAGTTTCTCAGGGCAGAGTAGCAAGCAGCTATGGAACTTCCTTTCTCCAAGACCCCATTTTCTTAAAGGAAGTGACCCCTTTGGTAACTACCTTGAGGGGACGACAAGGGTGGCTTTGAGAATAATTATGAACAGGGCTTCTCTTCTCATCATTGCATGCCACCCATCCTCCTTCCTCCACTCCAGTGTCCTTTTACCACTTCTCAGTTTCTTTTATCCTCCCTTCTCAAACCAAAATTTCTTTTCCCTTACTGTAAGCAGTTTATTTCTATGTTCAGTTAGAAGAGTAATAAGCAGTGAAACTCATTTTCAGTAAGCAATGAATAATTGTTATAATAGCTGTTGCTAAGTGTTACTGTGTACTTACTGTGTGCCAGGATCTGTGCAGAATACTTTAGAAATGTATTGTCTCACTTGATTCTTTTTTAAAAACATGAGATGGGTACTTTTGTTATCATTCCCATTTTGCAAATGAGAAAGCTGAGACTCACATAAATAACTTACCCAAGGTCACATCATTACAGAGTAGTAGTAGAGCCTGAATTTAAAACCAGGTCTGACACCTTTGTCCATATTCTTAACCACTGTGGAGTGTCCCAGTCTTCTCCTCCTATCAACCTTCTCCTCCCAATTTGAAAATGAAGCCAAAGTTAATATCCATAAACCTTGAAATTCTAATTAGTAAAAACAGAAATGTATATATGGGGGATATTTCATATTCTGGCTAGAGGAAGGGAAAAACTTCACAGATCAGATGCCTTCTCACTTAAGGATATGGAATTGGTGTGAGAAAGTCAGAGAGGAGCCTTAGTAATTCTTTGTGCTACACAGTCACCTTTCCTGTCCCTCAAGCCAATCCCAGAATTGCTGCCCTCCTTTCTGCTCCCTGCCTAAAGTTGTCCCTAAGCTCACTGCTTTCTTCTTGTGTGAACTATGCTGTGACTTACTGAGGAGACTCCTGTCAGAAGCCTCTTTCCAGTGTTGGTCCTTGGGCATTGTGTCTGTCAGTATATATAACCACTGAATAAGCCACTACCAGAACTGTTCAGCCTGCCCAGTTTTCATATGATTTTTCTTAGGTAGTTGGCGTGCTAACAACTTAATTTTTTTTTTAATTGGCCAGAATATTGTTCCTCCCTTTTGTCCAAAACACTTACCTGTCACTATTGACCACATGCCACCTGGGTACCCAAGTAAGGGGAAGGTCTTCCAGTGTCCAATTACTGTTGATGCTTTTCTTTGGCAGGAAAAGGAAAAAGAAAAAGATAAAATTAAGGAGAAGGAGAAAGATTGTAAAGAGAAGGAGAAAGACAAGAAGACTCTCAATGGGCACACTTTCAGCTCCATTCCTGTTGTGGGTCCCATCAGCTGTAGCCAGTGCATGAAGCCTTTCACCAACAAAGATGCCTACACTTGTGCAAGTAAGAGATTTGCTTCTTCCTTTCCTAAAATGGAACTCTCAGCTCAGGAAAGCTCATTTCTAGTTTCATCCCACCCCTTATCTGTTCCTCATTTATGTGGAGAAGTAACCCTTTTTATATTTTTCTTCAGACATGATTGAAGAAATAAATTCTACATGTATAACATACAACCTATATTTTTTTCAAACAGCCCCAATTTCAAATACACTAACTTAAGGTGGTTCAGCTTACAATTTTGCAACTTTACAGTGGTTTGAAAGTGATAGTAGAAACCATACCTTCAGTACCCATACAACCACTCTGTTTTTCTCTTTCGGTACCATCCTCCATAAATTACATAAAACAGTCAAAATTTTGTTATCAAATAGACTTTGTTAGATGATTTTGCCCAACTATAGGCTAATGTAAGTATCCCGAACATGTTTAAGGTAGGCTTGGGTAAACTGTGATGTTCAGCAGGTTAGGTATATTAAATGTATTTTCAGTTTATAATATTTTCAGCTTACAGTAAGGTTTGTTTGATTGTAGCACCATTGCAAGCCAAACAACATATGCACCCTGTTCTATGGTCTCTAAACCACCCACTATTTCAGAAGTCTGTGTCAGCATCAAAATTACCATAACTTCAAACCTTAAAGCTACTCAGCAGCCCCTTGTCAGATCATATAAGCTCATATTTTATTCTAGTACTTTGGTATATGCTTCAGCCACTTACCAGCATCAAGCCATGGTGACTACCAAGGAAAAGCAACTCTGAGCACAGAGGTGTCCATGCTGACCTGTTATTGGCCTGCTTTCAAGCCACTTTAAAACCAAGTCTGCTGAGTGTGGTTCCTGGCTTTGATAAGAGACTCTCAGCCAGGAGTTGGTTAACGTTTTCTGAACAGGGCCAAATAACAAATATCTAGGCTCTGTGGGCTATATGGTCTCTGTCACAACTACTGGACTCTGAATTTGCAGTATAAAAACAACCATAGACAATAAATAAGCCAATGAGCATGACTAAGTTCCCAATAAAATTTCATTTTTGGACACTGAAAGTTGAATTACGTAAAATATTATTTTTATGTGTTGTGGTATTAATCTTTTTTTTTTTTGAGTCTGAGTCTCACTCTGTCACCCAGGCTGGAGTGCAGTGGCACTCTCATGGCCACCACAACCTCTACCTGCTGGGTTCAGGCAATCCTTCCACCTTAGCTATCCAAGTAGCTTAGACCACAAGTACACACTATCATGCCTAGCTGATTTTTTTGATTTATTGTAGCGATGAGATCTTGCCATGTTGCCCAGGCTGGTCTCGAACTCCTGGACTCAGGCAATCCTCTTACCGCCATCTTCCAAAGTGCTGGGATTACAGGCATGAGCTACCATGCCTAGCTATTCTTTTTTATTTTGTAAACTATTTTAAATGTAAAACTATCCATAGCTTATGGGCTATACAAAGATAGTCTGTAGAGCCAGATTTGACCCCAAGACCATAATTTACACATCTCTTCTTTAAGGGAATGCATGTCATAATTTTGTCACTGCCCACATAGAAAGTAATAATATTTGTAGAGCACACCAAGGTGAATCAAGGAGGCTGCTTGTGGTCAGAGATGAAAAGTCTTGCGATCCATTTGCTCCAGGCTAAGCCCAGTTACTCAGAAGGCAGAGGTGGTTAGCATCATATTAACCTATAACCAATTCATACAAAATAGTAACTAATTCAGACTCCAAGAAACAAGTCTCAGATAATGATGTCTTCTTTCCACTCATTTGTATTGCGTATTCCAAGTAATTTGTTACTAAAAATAATTAACTTACTAAAATATGAAATGTGTGGAGGAGGGCTTTTGTTTGTTTTGGGGGTTTTTTTTGTTTGTTTTTCAGACAGAGTCTTGTTATGTTACCCAGGTTGGTCTCAAACTCCTGGGCTCAGGCAGTCTTTTCAAATCAGCCTCCCAAGTAGCTGGGATTACAGGCTTGTGCCACCGCACCTGGCAGTAATTTGAAATTTTTCAAAGTTAATTGGGCAGATTCAAAGTTGCTTCTATAATGTGCTCATGTGCTTTCTTGAATAGGAGTGGTGTTACACCTAGTATATAGCCCACAGCCTGTCTTATTTATACTACACCAATTGTGACTTTTAAAAATGACCGGCTGTATCATACACATACATATAAAATAATTTTTATGGATATATTATAACCCCCAAATAGTGCAACCCTATTTGTTTTGTCCTATTTTTAAAAAAAATATTATTATGCATCCCTGTGAGCAGAGGTCAATACATTAATGTCATCCATCATATGTGATTTTCCAGAAAATTGAGAGCTACTACCAAATAGTAATAAGTTTCATGTAGCCTCTGGGGACAAAAGAAACTCACTACCCAGTATCCTGCCAATGTTTTTATTTTTAAACCCAGGTTATAATGAGATTTTTTTCTAGGATACCATTTGAATGTCTACAGTTTAGTTTTTCAGCCACTGGACGACACAGCTTCTTAAATTCTCAGTACTGGAAAAACCCGGTTGCCTAAAGCTGTAGTCACCAAGCATGTTCACCTGTCATTAAAACGTTTCTGGCGTACTCACACAGGCAGTATATTGAGATATAAATTACATATAAGTCCTACTACACTATACTTACAAAGAACTCATTCTAAACATAAGTCTCAGATTTGCCATTTTGCAGTTTTCTGGTGAGTTATTAGTATGATTAGTATTCTTTGACTCATGACTTCTTTGAAGGAACTTGTGTGACTCTCATTTTCATTTCATTTCATTTGGAGCCAGGTAATAGGCTACAAGCTCACTTCACTGGGTACCTACACTCTTCATTCATTACAGCATACTGAATGTAAACAGGTTTGGAAGACTGCCACCGTGACGCATCCCTAGCCCACCTCCCAGTGAGGAGCATCATCCCTACCTGTCTCCGGAAACATCTAGTATTATGTATAAAGTGAGGCTGCCTTACATAAAGGTGGAGTGATACACCAGGATAGTCATCTATATATTAACTCCATTTCTCTTTTATATTAAGTCGATTAAATGAGAACTGTAAAATTTTCCTCCTGTTTTCCAAGGATTGTTTTTCCCTTACAGAGTGCCTCTTCTTTCAGGGAGCACTGATCTCAGAAAAACAAGAAAAGGCCATATTTCTTGATTGGCAGTATGAATATTCAAGGAGCTTCATTAGTAAGGCAGGCTGGATACCTGCTTTCCTCTATAAAATATAAAAGTGCTATAAAAATAAATAATATAGATGACCCTACCAAAAGGAAAAGCCCCGAGGGAACTCAGAATCAGAGCAGTAAAGAGCATCTCTCTCAATTGGGGGCAGGATATGTGGCCTCAGGGTATGTAGTGGGAGCTGGAACTGAGACTCCCCCATATAAAACCAAGAGCTTTTGTAACATCCATGATGAAGGATCTAGAAAAATTCTATCTACTCGGTGTCAGAGCAGCAAGGAAATGTATAGTCTGCCCAGGACCCTAGGTGAGAATTCTGTACCGTACATGAATCTGGGGGCCAAATTTACACCGTTTATGTGTGTGGCACTTCAAGCTAAGACATATTCATAAGAGGTTTAGTCAAATTCCAGTTTAGGAATGATGTATCCCTTAGGGACCCCCATTGAGCTGTAGCAAATACAGAACTGCTCCATTGGGTCAGTTTTGACAAAACAGTATACCCAGAGGCTACCACGGGAGAAAAACTAAAGTCCTGTAAAGCTAAGCTCACAATAAAAGAATGCATAGATGCTACATAAGGAAGTAAAGTGCCATGAGGAAGATTTAGGAGATGTGCAAGCAAGAGAGGATGCTGGAAATTACTAAAAGGTTAAAACAAATAGAACCCATCATGAAAGAACAGAACATAACAAGGGGTAGATTTGAAAAATAACTGAATAGGTCGGGCTCAGTGGCTCAGCCTGTAATCCCAGCACTTTGCGAGGCCAAGGCAAGTGAATTGCCTGAGCCCATGGGTTCGAGACCCACCTGGGCAACTTGGCGAGACCTCATCTCTACACTACATCAAAAATTAGCCAACATGGTAGCGTGCGTCTGTAGTTCCTGCTACTTGGAAGGCTGAGGCAGAAGGATTGCCGGAGCCCAGCAGGTCGAGGCTGCGGTGGCCGGGAGCATGCCACTTGCACTCCAGTCTAGGCAACAGAGTGAGACTCCAACTCAAAAAACGAAAAAGGAAAAGAAAAGAAAAATAACTGACTAAAACTTCAAGAATAGAAATGCTCATTGAAAAGTCTTCATGGAGATATTTTAGCATATTGTCCCAATTTACATTCATGTATAAAGGAAGAAAATAGCTTCTACTCTGTTGTCGGCTTTAATAAGGGGAAAGCTCGATGAATAGTCTGGAAAATATTGCTGGCTTCACATTGGTTTATTTTTTTACACTTAATTATCAGTAATTGTACCTTTGAGTCCCTGATCTTATATGAAGTCATTCAGCAAAGTTCATTTGTGGCCAGGCATGATGACTCAAGCCTGTAATCTCAGCACTTTGGGAGTCTGAGGCGAGAGGATTGCCTGAGCCCAGGGGTTTGAGACCAGCCTGGGTAACTTGGCGAGAACTCGGTTCTACAATAAAATCAAAAACTTAACTGGACGTGGTAGTGCACACCTGTAGTTCCAGCTTTGGAAGGCTGAGGCAGAAGGATCTCCTGAGCCCAGTAGGTCGAGGCTGCAGTGACCATGAGCATACCGCTGCACTCCAGCCTGGGCCACAGAGTGAGACTCCAACTCAAAAAAACCCCAAAAATTCATTTGCTTGAATTCTGCAAGGTGCTGTGTTTGATATTGTGCTTGATACAAAAGCAGTTAGTCAACAAATATTTGTTGAATACCAGTATGTGCCAGGCACTTTTTTCAAGTTGCTTACACAGTGACTTTAAAAAAAAAAGAGGAGTTCCACAGTATGTTATTTGGTACTTATTCTCTGTGACATATTTGTAATAAGGAAAAATTGAAAGCAATCTAAATATCCATCAA